TTTCTTTCTCATGTTGATGTATCTCTTTCTCTCTTTCTTCCTCTCTCTCTAAAATTAATAAACATATCCTTGGGTGAGGAATTAAATAAAAAGCAAGATAGCTGAATGATGGAGAGGTTAAGCAACTCTTCCAGGGTCGTAGTTTTCTTTTACCTTTCCGTGTCCTTCCACTTGACCTTGTGGCTGACTGTCCTACAGTTGGTCATGAAGTTCTCCCAATCCATTGCTGTCTCCCCTCTTGTTCGCGGCAGATCCAGACACCTGGAGAGCAACAGCCAGGCGCGAGGTGGGGTGCTGGTGCACCTAGAGAACCTATTTTGAAACTGCATTTGCATGGCAAGTGCACTCTTTTTATATAGATTACTGTTTATTGAGAGGTTTGGGATGAGGTGGGCTGGCACGGTTAGCTTCCTGACCCTCCCCCATTGCTTCCTGAGCCATCCTTAGGCCATTAGAAAACAACCTTGCCATTATTTTATTTTGTCTCTTCTTTTAAACTTTATGTCAGTTCCTATAACCCCATTTAAAATTAGTGGAATTAATTACCTAATTTGGTAATTTATTAGGTCTATTTATTATTTCATAAAAAGCAGTGGTTTCCTGGCTGCTTTGTAGTGTGGCTTACGGAAGCTTTGCGGTTCGATGGTAGGGCCTTGGACGAAGGCTCTTGGTGTGGCTTTAGGATCCTTTGAAGAAAACACCAATACTCATAGTTATCATTGCTCATGATTGTAGAAATTTAGGGACTGAGAAGGTATACTCCTTCTACCGAGAAGATGATCTAGCTTCATCCCTATTTCTAACACAGTTCTAGAGATGAAGCGACTTCCCTAAGGTAAATAGCTGGTTGGTAGCAGAGCCAGGATTAGGACAAGGTCTCCAGCATTCCAGTTAACGTACTTTCCTCAGTGTTGTGATCCCGTTTGCTCTCTTTTGCCCACTCATTTACAATTGTGTTCACATTCTGACAGGCCCCCTTAGAGATCATACGTTCTCTTTCAACCAGGGAAACCCAGAGACATTACATGGTTTTGTTCAGCCTCCCAGAGGTTGTAGGTACTAGATATGGGACTAGAGGCCAGGTTCTCTGACTGCCAACCCAGTGCTTTTTTTAACCAACACCCTGATTCTTCAGAGGGCTGTGCCTTAGAGAGCGCTTTAACTCAGAACCTAGAGACTCCCACGAACTCAGTTACATAGCTCTCTCTTCTTGTGAGTAGAGTTATTGAAGGATGTAGTTCCACATGGTGGTGCTTAACACAAGAGGCAGAGGGATGTAGTGCTTGACCTCCAACACCCTTTGTGATTCTGTTCATTCATGGCATATCTGTAAGCCCGTTTTCTCCCGTACACAGTGAGGGTAGTGATTTTATCTCCCTTTCTGTTGGAGAATTCTGTGGTCCTTTTCCAGCGGTGTATGTTTCTTTGTTTCGTCCAGTAGAGGGGGCTGTGCGCTCACAGACCGACAGACCCCCAGGTTCCTCCTCCAAGTTGGATTTTTGGGAAGACACCTGCGGGGTGTGATGAAAGAGATGCCAGTCTGGGCAGGACAACCTGTGGGAGGATCTGGAGACACTGGTAGAAGAGTTCAAGAGGCTGTGCTGCTGGGAATCAGCAGAGGAAATTAAAGATATTCCTGGGAAACAGATCCCCAGGGTCCCAGAAATTCTTTTTAGGTTAATGCCTCCCCAAGAACAATGACAGGCTAAGAAACTGCAGGTTTGAATGTTCCTATTGCAATTGTACTGTCTGCTCTTAGGAGTGGTGAGTGTCCTGAGTGCAATGTATGCATAGTGTTGTGCCAGTCCTGGTCTGGGGTTCCTTTTCCATATGACCCAGTGTGGGCTACATTAGGAAGAAATATAATGTCTCCTCTCAGCACCAGTTGCACACAGGCAGCTTCTTCACACTTGAAACCTGTGCTGAGGTCTAGGAAAGACCAGGTGATTCTTCTGTTTTTAGTTAAAGTAATAGACCACAGTGCATTAAGACAGAGTCTTGAGGAAAAAAAAATGAAATGCTCATTTCTCCTGTACAGAATATGGAAGAGTAGGAAGAAGTACTAACACAGTCCTTGCTGGAGAAGCCGATGCTGTAGAGGAGTTTCAGAGAAGTGCTGCTTTATTGATCACATTCAGCTGCTCCTAATTTGGACTCTTAGAATTGAGACAAGCAGTTACAGCCAGGAAAGAAGGCAGGTGGGAGGAAGACAGGGGAGGAGGGACAAGTTTGGGAGTTAGAGTTAGAAGTAGGGATGCAGAAAGGAAGAAAAACAAAATCTTGACTTTCTTCTTCTGACCCAGCTGTGGAAAATACTTTTTCTGAGGTCCTTTGCCTAACTGACCTGAACGATTGCTTTAGGTGACATAGGTCAGTCATTTCAGGGCACTTCCTGGGACCTGGATGTCTAGGCAGGTGTGGAAAAACCTTGATAACACGCTACATCTGATCAGAGGCTTTATCCTGGGATCTGAAAGAGCTTTTCCCACGTGTACTTAAACAATATTACGTGGCTAGTGGAGGTATTCCTGTCACTTGAGGCTGGATTACCTACCCCCATACGGTGTTTGCCTAGTAAGCATTAGCTGCATTTTCCCCATTTTTCCATTGCTCTGACCTGCCAACCTCATCAATATCCTGAGAGCCTTCTCTCATGGCTACAGGCATTTGCTTTGAGGAGGTGGCCTGCAATGATGTTATCATCTGTCTGTGTAAAACTTTGATAACTGTGTCTCTGAAGGATATTTCCTGAAGTATCCTTCACAGATTTCCTTGACATTGCACATGACATTCAGAGTCTATGAGAAATCATGTAGAATATACAACGATGTGGCCCCTGCCCATGGGAGCCTACCTGAAAGTGGTCTGGGCCTCAGTGACACACAATGAACAAATATATTGATGACAAGTTGCAATTACAGGTTTTTCAAAGCCTATTTCCATCCCCAACTAACATTGACCTGTTCTGAAAGAGTACCACGTAAGTCAATAGTAATAGCCATCCTCATTCTTACTGAAAATAGGTCTTTCGAGTTTTGCAGTGCAGTTTCACAGCCATCTCATTTGGTCCGCTCACCAGGCCGATGACGGTCATCGTAAGCATGGGTTATTTTATCAGTGAAGAAACTGATGCCCCAAACTTAGGCAACCTCCGCTAAAGAAATACAGTTAGTTAGAAGTGGAACAGAACTCAGATTTAGATTTTCTCAGTACAAGTCTAGGTTTTTTTTAAAAAAATAACAATATATGACACAGCTAATGTGGATGATTTTGCTATAAAAACTAGAAGAACTACAGTGTTGTTAAAAGATGCAAGTAATTTCCTAGGTCTTCTGGAAAAATATTTATTTTTGCTTATTAAAATATATACTTCTTTTGATATATATATCATTATTGAAATTATATGTATATATTTATCATTACATAAAAGTTTGGAAACACAAATATTAATTTCAAAAACTATGCCCTGGCTGGTGTGGCTCAGTGCATTAAGTGCCGGCCATGTGAACCTTAGGGTCACTGGTTCAATTTCTAGTCAGGGCACATGCCTGGGTTGCTGGCCAAGTCCCCTGCTGGGGGCATGTGAGCGATGTTTGTCTTTCTCTCCTTCTCCCTCACTTCCCCTCTCTCTAAAAATAACTAATAAAGACTAATAAAATAATTAATAAAACTGTTCAATCCTGTAAGTCTGAAATAAACCTTAATATTTTGAACTTTTAAAATTGCTTCTCTGTATTAACGAAATTTTAATTGTTTTATATTATATCACAGAATTTTTCTATGCCATTTAATTTTCTTAAAATTAGTTTTAATATTTGCACATATTCCATTAATTAAATTCACTGTAATTTTTTAACTACCCCCTTCCTCTTAGCTGGTGTCAAATCTTTGCTGCGAGAAACTAGTACAGCATACAACTTTTTCATTTAAAGTTGTTCTTACATTTCTTAATAGTCTCATAAGACTTAAGCTTTAAAAAAGTATATACATGTTTAGTTTTTTAAGTAGAAACAAAATGCTAGCAGAGCAAGAGCTAATTGTCACAGGAGGGATGCTCTCTGAATTTGGGGGAACTGGGGTCAAGAACCGGAAGATACATGGTCAGTGGAAATTGGAAGCTCTTCTGGTTGTATTGGAGAAAACATTTTAGATCTCAGTTTAGACACCACTTCCTTTACAGATTTCCCAGACACCCACTGTCATATATGTACCAAATATCAGATTGCGCGGTCTTCTCATAGTGTTCTGCACTTGCCCTTTTGTAGCACTTAACTATATTCTAATGGCCTGGGTGCTTCTCAGTGGCTTTTCCAAGACCAAAAGCTCTTGAGAGTAGGGACCCCGCGTTAGTATTCAGTGCAGTGCGTGGCATAGGTACTTGGGTTGGTTTGCCCAGGCTGCCATAACAAAATACCACAGACTGGGTGGCGTGAACAACAGACACTTATTTTCTCACACTTTTAGAGGCTAGAAATCCAAGAGTAAGGTGCCGGCAGGGTTTGCTTCCTCTGAGGCCTCTCTTCTTGGCTTGCAGATGGCTCTTGTCGCGTCTTCACATGGTCATCCCTCTATGCCCTTGCATGCCCTTGACATGTCCAAATTCATTCTTATAAGAACCAGTCAGATTGGAATGGGACCCATCCTACTGGCCTCATTTAAACTTAACCTCTTTTTTTTTCTTTTTTTAAAAATTGAATGTAGTGGGGTAACATTAGTTAATAAAATTATATAGATTTCAGTTGTACAATTCTGTAATACATCATCTGTATATTGTACTGTGTGTTCAGCTCCCTAAGTCTACTTCCATCACCGATTTATCCCCCTTTACCCTCTTCTACCTTCCTCCACCCCCCTTCCCCTCTGGTAATCACCATACTGTTGTTTGTGCCTGAGATTTCTTTTTCTTTCATAATCCCGTCACCCTTTTCATCCAGCTTCACAACCCCCCTCCCTTCCACAGCTGTCCGTCTGTTCTCTATTTATATTTTTTGTTTTTTTCAAAAAATATGGAACGCTTCAAGAATCTGCGTCTCATCCTTGCACAGGGGCCATGCAAATCTTCTCTGTGTCGCTCCAATTTTAGGATATGTGCTGTCAAAGCGAGCACTTAATCACCCTTCAAAGGCCCTAGGTACTAGGGTTAGGGCAACATGTGGGTTTGGGGGGAACGTAATTCAGTCTATTACATGATTCCTTATATATTTTTATTATGAAATATTTGACATGCTTGTAGATGAATAAGAAGATAGTATTTACATTCCAGCACCCTACTTTCTGATAGCCAGGCCCTTTCTGGCCAAGGCTATGAATGATGGAGGCAGTCTGGTATCTTACAAGATGTGCCAGACCTAGACTCAGAGCCCTCAGTCTGTAGCTTGGCTCTGCCGGCTCCCAATCACGTGATCTTAACCACCCCCAGCGTCAGTCTCCTCGCCTGTACAATTGGGATAATAACACCTACTCCAGTAGATGGTTGTGAGACTAGATGAGATCATACATATGGGGGTGTCTAGCATAATACGTACTATGAAGTAGACATCAGAAAATGCCGGTTTAACCTGTCAATGGAAAGGTAGGTTAGAAATAAGAAGTATTTCAATTCGGTGATAAGAGAGGGCTCAGGTACTGCCAGAGCTCTAAAAAGTCCCCAGTTTTAACCCGTGAATCTCACCACTGTTGTTTATACAGCCCACCACCCAGCCTCAGATTCATGTCGGCTCAGTTAGGGCTGCTGGTTTATCAACTGTTTCCGTTTGAAAAACAAAGTTTGCTATATTAAATTATTTATATATAAAGCACTTATTCATTATAACCTAAAGTTTTCAGAATTGAATGAGTGATTTTGATTCTTGCCCCCAGACTCTGGGAGCTCATCGCATTGTGGTGTTGCCTAACTGCTCGTTTCACTGAGAATTGTTATTGCTTGAGATTTAAAATGGCTTTACGTAAAATATCAGGTGTCTCAGTGTGATGACAGTGATAACTTCTGTGAGGCACTTTATAAATGGACCTTGAAACACCATAAGGATATAAAGTCTCTTTTTAGGTTGTGGATAGAGTATTCAGTGATGAACAGATCGCAGGCTAGGGGAGCATAGAGAGAGGCTGTTGAATCTTTAAGATCCTTCAAGAATCAGTAGCACAGAGTTAGAGCCCTCCCTTCTGGTCCTGTCTCAGCAACAGTCATGATCCAATTTTCAGCTGATCAGCTTTTCCTTGCCTCTCTCTGAGGATGTTAGAAATCATGGCCTTTGGTTATTCACAAATCTACTTTTTACTCTTCTTCCAGGGCAAGTGTTTGCTTTCTCTCTTTCCCCACCCTAGGCTTCTCTCCTGATCCCATCACCACACTCTCCCCTTCTGTCCTCCTGCCCTATTCCTGGTTTCTGTTTCAACAAGCCTGCAGCCTACATACCTCTGTCATCTCTCCTTATTGCCCTTTCTTACTGTCTCCTGACCTGCCTTCATGTCTGGGCATTCTGCCATAACTGCTTTCCTGTCTCTCATGCATGTATACTCTCAGTCTCTCTCTTGCTTTCCCCCTTTCCTCCCCCTTCCCTGGTTGCTGCCTCTCCCACTTCTCCATCCAGATCCTCCTCCAGCAGGAACAGGAGTGTGACATCCCTCAGAAGTGTAGCCACTCCCTCATCCTGTTATCCTTCCGGATGACCTAGGGATAGGACCTTGGATTTGTTACTTCTGTTTTTCCACGGACACTTAGTGGATGTTAACACTGATGTCCTCCTAAGCATTGTTACAATAAAACCTTCCTGAAATCATCTCCTGGGCTCAGCATAGCCTATCCCCAAGGGGATTTTCACTGCCCCAAGGAGGAACTTGATCAAGTGAATGAGAAGGGAGCTTTGGCAGGAATGGAGATGGGTTTGATATGAAAACATTTGTATTTCAACTTTTGTCTTGATTGAGTAGCTTTGGTACTCTTGCAGACATGACTGCTATTTTAAAAGGTTCACCAGTGTTTAACAAATCTTTATTCAGTTTAACAAAGATAGTTACACTTGGGTTTCATTTAGTAAGTAGTAATGATTGTTTTGTTTATAGTTAGATCTGAATTCACTTATTGACTCCACTTATTGGTAATTTTGGTCCATCCCTTGAGACTGAGGTTAAGTGATGGTCCATGTAAGGACAGAATAGAGTTGTTTAAAGGTCTTAGGATGCAGATTGAAACTAGAGGAGCATTAACCATGGCATTACTGAAAATTAATGGATATCTGAGGTTGAGTTAAAATGGTCTAGCCAACCAGTTGATTCATTTGGAGATCACATTCCCCCAAGAAAAACAGGTCCAGCCTGATTTCCTGTTTGAGCTGTAAGATGTGACACCTGCCCCTCCTTGCTCCTTGTGGGTTCAGCTCTGTCTTATTTGCCTCTCCCCACCCAGCTTCTAAGGTTCAGCATGTCTGTTTGCGATGTGCATTGTGCAGTTTTCTCTAACTCCCACGCATTATAACCTCTCACAGAGTCAACCAGCCACAGCTTTTCTTTGTCAGAAAAACCACTGCCTTTAATCAGGATGAAGCATTTATCACACTTTGCAGTTACATGGTCACAGTTTTTTATGGGTATCAGTTTTCCTTTCCAGGGTTTTGGAGCCAGAGGACTCACCAGGAAGGCAGATCCAGAAGAGTTCAGGTTTCATGGCCCTGCAAATTGGAAGTTACAGTCATTTGTCTTCCTTCCTTTCCTGGTTTCTGCTCCAACCAGCCTGCGGCCTTCATCGCTGCTTTATTGCCTTCTCCTTCCGCCTGCTGAGTGGCCTCCATTCTGAGCACGCTGTCAGGCTTTGCCGCTCTCCTTTCGGCCCTTGTCCTCCTACTTGTTTTTCTCTCTCTGGTCTACTGAAGAATGAACAGAAGCGTAAGAACCCTCAGCTACATCTGTGGGACTTTTTAAATGAATTTTGGAGGCTGGTTTTGGAGACAAGGTTATCATTTTTATCATTTATCCAAATGACTTTGAATATAAGTAATATAAACATTCAGTGAATAATAAGAATAAATGTAGAGGTGGCCTACTTGAAAAACTGTCGGATGTTATAGGCACTGGCTCTTCACCATCTGTATCTACCTTCCTTTGTAGCTTTTTCTCATACTTTGCTTCCCTGCACAAACCCTGTACTTCAGGACTCTACATTATTTGTGAGCACTCTGTGGGGCTCCCTTGGACCACCTGCCCCGCAGGGTCCTTTTCCTTCCTCTCATCCATCACTTGCCCATCCGTGGGGCCCGCCCTCCCACCGCCATCCTGTCCCCGCGGTGTCACTTCCTCGGTCGCTCTGCTCATCTCTTCCTCCTCTCAGTCTAGGAGGACTCTCTGTATCTCGTCACATGGTGCCAGATCACAACAGTATCTCTGAGGAGGACGGACACGCCACGTGACCACGGATGCACTCCTTTCAGTCAGCAGCTGTGGCGGCCACAGCTGCAGAATGGGAATATTTGCACAGCGCTTCATCATTTGCAAAGCCCTTTCATCTATGTTATCTCATCTGGTTTTCAGAACTTCACTGCAAGCTTGGTATTATTACCATTATCTCGTGTGTAGATCTTTAGAGGCCACTGTCCCAGCTTGGTGACTTATTGCAAAGAAGAGCTTTAGCCATGAATTAATAAAGAGATGGTTTTTAGAAAGAAATGGCATTGTTCAGTGGGCTATAGATAAGCAATCAATCATACCTAGGAAGTTAAACATTTAGGTATTTAATATTAATGAACCACTTCCTTGATAAACTCACGTGAAGAGAAAAAATCCTCAGTGACTAAAACTGTGGGAGCTTTTAGCAAAATTTCACCACACAAAGTTGGCCACTAGTCATGTTTTAAACTATAATATGGATATCCAAATTCACAAAGTATTTGTTTAAACACCAAGCATTGCTAATTTGTAATCTTCATTTGATGGTTCCTTTACACAATTGTTACATATGCTGTTCTAGTGTCCTGGCATTTATGATGCAGGATTGGTATAACTTTTCATTTAGAACTAATCCTCAAGACTTGGTTTAGAAAAATGAAAGTCACTTTCCCAAATGATAATAGCTAATGATTACTGACAGCTTACTCTGTGTCAGATGCTATGTATTGTCAGTAAACCCTTCAAGAGTCTTTGAGAAAGGTTATATATTGCCTCCATTTTATAGATGACAAAAATCAGACTTAGGTTAACACTCTTTAATTGAATACCCACGTCTGGTAAGTGTTGGGTGAGCGATTCACACTCTGCATTTTACTATATCATGTGGCCTCCCTGGATATAATCTTTTTGTATGGCATTGTACCATTTTAGAAAGAGGGGTGATACAAATAAACTCAGTCCCTTTATATTATCTCAGAATTCTGTGATCGGGTAGAAGTGGGCTAGAGAAGGCAGTCGTATACTCCAGGGTATAACCTCATTAAATTGCGTCTGATTTCAATAGATAATAGTGGCACGCAGTAACTGTAACATTTGGCCCTGTAGCAAGCAAGGCTCCATGGTTTATTTCTCTTTCTAAATTACAAAAAATCTAAGAGATAAAAATTAAGCCTACTTTTCTTCCTTTCCCCTTCTCTCCTATTGAATTGATCTTATGCAAAGAATATAATGAAGGGGGCAGAAGAGTCCTGTTGAGTCTAGTATCTGATTTGTGGATATTACTCTTTCTCCCTTCAAACTTTGTGGTTCAGTTGCTGAAAATGAAAGCAGCCACTTCAGATTCGTCTTCCAAAACACAGATTATTTGATGAGACAAGACAGATGCTGTAAGATTTAAGCAGTGTTTGTATGCCTTGGTGGTGAAGACCAAGTGGTTTTTCACTCCAGTGATTCTCAACCATGGCTACACAGTAAGATCACTTGGGAACTTGAAAGAAATCCCAATATTCAGTCCCAGGGGTGAGTCCATAAGGTCACTGCAGCTGCCTTCTCCTGAGTGGTGGGGTCATTGAAACCATTACTGATGAAGAAGCAAGATGACAAGGGTGGGTGATATGTACAGAGGGGCTCTCTCATTGGTCAGAAGCTATAAGTAGCACAGAGAAGCTGCAATAGCATAACAAGAAGATGACCTCCTCTGTCTCTCTACGTATCAGAACATTTTACAAT